TCTCTCTCTCTCTCTCTCCCCTCCCTCCCTCCCCCTCTCTCTCTCTCCCTCCCTTCCTCTCTCTCTCTCTCTCTCTCTCTCTCTCCCCCCCCTCTCTCTCCTCTCTCTTCCTTCCTCTCTCTCTCTCTCTCTCTCTCTCTCTCTCTCTCTCTCTCTCATCTGTAAAGCATATCCTCAGGTAGGATTTTAAAAAACAATAAGAAAACACCCTCTGACCTTCAGAATTCCCCCAGCCTGAGAGGGAAGTGTCACTCCCCTGTCCATTGCCACCCCTGCAGCGGAACGGAAAACCGACATTCATAACGCCTTTGGGCTGTGTCCTGTGCACAGGAGTGGTGTAGACAGAATTTCCTTCAATCCCCATGGAGGTGTCTGATGTGCCTCGACAGGGCGCGGCACTGAGGCAGAGAGGGGCGTTGGTTGCCTGAGGCAGCACAGGAAGGTGAGGCGAGGATGACGTGTGTGCGCCCCCAAACCTCAGCTCCTGGGGGTCACACTCCCAAGACAGCGCCCTGAAGTGCGAGTGGTGGGAGGGGCCTCCGTCTCCCAGGAAACGGTGGGCGTGCTGAGCCTGCTCAAAGTTCACGTTCAGGAATAGCAAACGCGGGATGGCAGGAGGAGGCGGCTGGCTCTGGCCTGGGTCCCGCAGAGACGGGCAGGACCACTGGCAGCTTCTCCCCCTTCCCTCTGCCGGCGAAAGGGCGTGGGCCGCTCCCACGCAGCAGCGATGCCCAGGGAGGCCGGGGGCGCGGCTGGGAGCCGAACCGTTCCTGTGAGCTCGTGGGAGCCGGCCCCAAACGGCCTTGGAGGCAGAAGGACGGAGGAAGAGCCGGCTTCTCTCGGAGTTCAAAGGGCAGCAGAAATCAGAAGCCAAGCAGGGGTGGAGACGGAGATGGCGGGCGGGTGGCTCAGGTTTGTGGGGAGCTCGTGGTCCAGGGGTGCCCTCCGAGCTTGGGAAATATGACCAGCTGGAGCCGCCTTGGGAAGGGGTATGTGATGCCCAGGGAGCGGGGTGGGTCCGCGCCCTCTCCGCTCAGGGACGCTTCCCCCAGAAGGAGCCACTTTGCTGGCGCCAGAACCAGGCCTTTGCTCACAGGGCGCAGAGCAGGCATGGGCGCAGCCACGGGCTGCCTCCTTCCTGCCTCAGCTCCCACCCCAGTCGCCCACTCCTCCTCCTCCTCCTCTCTCCGTCTCCTCTCCTTTTTGTCGCTGCGGAGACACGAAGGGCCCAGACAGCCCAGTGTACAATAATAAGCACTCACTGTCCCGGGCCCACAGTTCCCAGGCCCTGCGTCCTGCACCCTGGGTGTTGCCATGGTCCGGGGGGTGCCGAGGCGCAGGCGGTGAGGGCATTTGCCAAATTTGAGAAGGAAAGAAGTGCCAGAACCCAGGCTTGAGCTCCATGAGCCCATATCTGGGCCCTCTGGCTTCCTGGATCTCAAGACTGTGAGTGGGTGGGCAGAGACACGGGGACGTACCAACTGATGCATGCACACGTGTGTGAGTGAGCGGATGGGTGAGCGATGGGCGTGTGGACAGTGGAAAGGTACATGGATGGGTGAATGGATGAAGGATGGATGGGTGGATGGAGATGGACAGACAGGATGGGTAACGAAGCGGGGAGGGAGGGATAATGAATGGCTGGAAGGAGAGAGGGTTGGAGAAGTGGATGGGTGGATGGATGGGTAAGCGGATGAGAGAGGTGGATGATTGATGAATGGGTCAGAGGGGAGGGGATAGAGGCACAGCTCCCATCGGAGGGCGGAGGGCGTATACGGGCTCTCTGTGGGGTAGCACCTGTTTGGCAGGTGGGCAGTCAGGCTGGAAGTCAGCGAGGTTATGGAGGCCCCCCGTGGTTCTGAATCAGAGAATTAATTACCCCTGGGACCCTCTCCTGCCCCCTGCGAGGAGGCAGAGGAGAGGGGCTTTAAGGGGGTGGGAGGAGAGGGCAGAGGGCGGGGCTTGGAGAGGAGGGGCCTGCCTGTGAAGAGATTGGCTGCTCCGAATGAGGGGCGGAGACCCCGGTGAGGACGTGAGGATGAAGATGAGGAAGGACAGGCCTGTGCAGCGGCCCCATCAACCACGGCTCCCTCCAGGCCACTGCGGTGGGAGCAGTGCAGGTCAGCAGCCTGGCCGCCAGGTTGGGGTTCTCCCCTTCGTCCCCCTCCCTGCCCCCCAAGGCCTGAACCTGCCTCAGGACCGGGACCAGAGCTGCCTGAAGGGAGGGTCATGGGGCGGCGTGGGGAGGAGGGAACACGGGGTCGTCCAGAACCTGTCCATCATGGTCTGTCTGTCCTCGCTCCTGACCAGCGGGTTCTGGGGGGCAGCCCTGGCAGGAGAAGGAAGTAGACTGCCCAGGACACCCCGGGGCACCCCGGGGCACCCCGGGGCAGGGTGTGGCCAGAGCCACAGGAAGTGGGAGGTGAGGCCCCCTTCCTTGGGTTCCAGGTTCCCCGGGGAGGGGCCCTGGCACCCCAGCACCTGTCTCTGAAGCTCACCCTGACCCCCTCCTTCCCCGCAGTCAAAGCCGGGGGGGTGGGGGGGCTTCAGGAAAGGGGGAACTCATCTCAGAACCTACTCGGTGCCAGGCCTTGCCATGGCTCTTAAGCTTCCTTCAGGCCCGATGGTCAGCCTGATGGTCAGAATGCGTGTTTTCACACACAGAAGAGCCGCCGTGAGCCTCGCCCGTGCGGCTGAGTGGGCAGAGCATTGCCCTGTGGGCTGAAGGCCCTGGGTTCAGTTCCGGCCAAGGGCACGCACCTCGGTTGCAGGCTGGTCAGGGCTTGTGTGGGAGGCAACCGATCGATGCATCTCTCTCACATCCATGTTTTTTTCTCTCTCTCTCCCTCCTTCCTTCCCTCTCTCTCTCCTCCCTTCCACTCGCTCTAAAAACCAATGGGAAAATACCCTCTAGTGAGGATTAATAACAAAACAAAACAAAAAAAAGAGCCGACTTGAGACTCAGAGAGGTCAGGTCACCTGCCCCAGGGCCAACAGCACTGCAGAGGAACACAGTTCTCCCAGGGGGACCCACAGCAAGGAGAGGATTTCCCCACCCCAAACCCCCCCACCACCACCTGGCACCAGAACCTCCGAGTCTGCCCTTAGCCACAGCCTGCCGGTGCCGGCGCCGTATTTGGGCGGCCTGAGCTTCCCTCGTGGCTCTGTCAACAAGCGCCGGAGGCCCGCCCTCTTTCTAAGCCTCAGTGCTTTCACCTGGAAATGGGGCCGACCAGGCACTGCTGGGGACTGAGCGAGAATAAAGAAGCCCGGTGTTTGTGGGTGCTTGTTTCCTTCATTTCTTTATGGTTTTCCTCCCACCTGGCAGGGATCCTGGTAGGACTCCACCCCCCGCTACGGGCCCGGAACGGAGCTCCAAATGCCGTACCGTTCAAGATCCTCATTAAGAATATTTAACCAAGAAACAGCCCACGTCCAGGGCAAGGTCCGGGGCCCAGAGGAAGGGAGGAGAAAGGGCGGCTGGAAGCTGGGAGGAGAAAATGCTTTTCTATCTCAAGAAAACGCAGGGCCCCGAGGCCGCCCTCCAAGACACGCTTCTCAGAAGGGGGTAACAGAGTGGCCCCGAGACCCGGGGGAGGAGGAGGCAGGGACTTCCAGGAGACAGCCCTCCGGGCTCCGAGTCCCAGCTCCGGGCAGCAAGACAGATTACAGGCAAGCACTCCCCCGCCAGGGCATCTGTGCGGCCCATGGTAAGCAGTCCCAGGATCCAGCAGAGGCCCTGGGAAAGGGTCTGGTGGATTGTGGTTGTTGTTGATCCTCACCTGAGGATATTTTTCCATTGATTTTAGAGAGAGTGGAAGAGAGAGAGAAACATCGATGTGAAAGAGACACAATTGGCTACTCTCCCATGCACCCAGACCAGGGCCTGGGACCGAGCCTGCAACTCAGGGATGTGCCCTTGACCAGGATCAAATCCAGGACCCTTCAGTCCACAGGCCGATCCTCTACTCACTGAGCCAAACGGGCCAGGGCAAATCAATTCTTTTCTTTTTTAAAATACGTTTTTATTTATTTTTTAGAGAGAGGAGAAGGGAAAGGAAGAGAGAGATCGAAACATCACTGTGATGTGAGAGAGAAACATCAGTGGGCTGCCTCATACCCCCTGCTGGTACGGAGTCTGCAACCTGGGCATGTGCCCTGACCGGGAATCAAACTAGTGACCACTTGGTACACCAGCAACACTCAGTCCACAGACCCACACTGGCTGGGCAGCTCTGACCAATTCTCTTTTTAAAATACATTTTTATTTGCTTCAGAGAGGAAGGGAGAAGAGAGAAAGAGAAACGTCACCGATGAGAGAAGCATTGATCAGATGCCTCCTATACATCCGCCCCTAGGGATCAAGCCCGCAATCTGGGCATGTGCCCTGACCTCTTGGCTCCTAGGTCAGCGTTCAACCACTGAGTCACACTGGCTGGGCTCTGATCAATAATTGAATGCAGGTTCCCAAGAGGTAGTCCTGGATCCTGGGACTATTTACCGTGGGGGGGCAGGCCCATATTGGTCCTGGGGGAGGAGATTCTGACCGAGAACCTCAGGCAGAGGGAAAAGAAACCAGACGGGGAGCCACGAGGATGCGGGAGGTAGGGGATTTCTTCATCACACGTCAATAAGAATCACCACCCAGGACAGGTCGGAAAGGAGGGGCAGAGAGACATGGAGGGGCAAAGAGCTGGGGGCTGAGGGGGAAGGCAGGTCCAAGCCTCTTCGTCCAGGGCCTGGATTCCTGTAGTTATTCCAGTAGCTTCAGGTCCAGGCCCTTTGTTACGGGGGCATCTCTGGGGGGCTGCCTGGAGGAGGTGGCAGGGAATCTTCACATGGTTGTGATCTTGGCTGTCTCCTGGTTTCTGGGCTCCTCTTGCTCCTCTTTCTCCTCCAGTTCCAGCCCCAGGTTGCTCTCTCCTTCCTTCTTGGCCTTTTTCTCCTTCTCCCTCTTGTCTTCTTGACTATAGAGAGACACAGGCCCCAGACCCCAATCAGAAACAGTCACTCCTATTGAATGGAAATTCACCTGGGCCAGGCCTTGTGATGAGGGTTTTACAGGAAGTGTCTTCACTGAATCCTCAAAATAAAGCCCAATGCTGCAACTTGGTAATTTCCACTTTACAAAGTCAGAAACTAAAGCTCACTTGTCCCATGGAGGAACAGATGGGCGATGGGAGGATGGATGGGTGGATGGGTGGATGGGTGGATGGGAGGATGGATGGGTGGACGGGTGGGTGGGTGGATGGGAGGGTGGATGGGTGAATGGAAGGATGGATGGGTGGATGGGTGGATGGGAGGATGGATGGGTGGATGGGTGGATAGGAGGATAGATGGGTGGACGGGTGGGTGGGTGGATGGGAAGGTGGATGGGTGAATGGGAGGATGGATGGGTGGATGGGTGGATGGGTGGGTGGATGGGTGGATGGGTGGATGGATGGGTGGGTGGGTGGACGGGAGGATGGATGGGTGGACGGGTGGGTGGATGGGTGGACGGGAGGGTGGATGGGTGGATGGGAGGGTGAATGGGTGGGTGGATGGATGGGTGGATGGGTGAATGGGTGGGTGGGTGGATGGGTGGATGGGAGGATGGGTGGGTGGGAGGGTGGATGGGTGGGTGGGTGGATGGGTGGATGGGAAGGTGGATGGGTGGATGGGAGGGTGAATGGGTAGGTGGATGGATGGGTGGATGGGAGGATGGGTGGATGGGTGAATGGGTGGGTGGGTGGGTGGATGGGAGGATGGGTGAATGGGTGGGTGGGTGGGTGGATGGGTGGATGGGAGTATGGGTGGATGGGAGGATGAGTGGGTGGGAGGGTGGGAGGGTGGATGGGTGGATGGCACATCTTGGGCTCAGCTGAGACTCTTTCAGCCAGGCTAGTCCCCTCTCAGGTCCTGCACTCCTGCCCCAACCTTTGCCCCCTAGGCCTGGCCTTGGCCATGGGACACAGTGTCAGGAAAGCAACCTGGTGAGCAGGATGGGCTGCTGTGAGGAGAAAACACCTGAGCAGGGACTGGAGGAGGAGCCGGCCAGATGATATGGGAAGAGGTTCCAATCAGAGCACACAGGAGGTACAAAGGCCCTGGGGCAGGAATGTGCTTGAGGTGTTCAAGGACAGAGGTCATCTGTGCACAGTGGACAGTGGACAGGTACATGGATGGGTGAACTCATCACAAGGCGACCACTTCCCCCAGAAGGGGGCTCACGCAGACTCCGACTCCCCACGCACACACCCACACACACACCCACTCACACCCACACACACACACACATGCACTCACACACCCACACATATACACACCCACATACACTCACACACACGCACACACTCACACACCTGCACACATCCACACACACCCACACACCCACACATATACACACCCACATCCACTCACACACCCACAGACACATGCACACACACCCACACACACTCACCCACATACACTCACACACACGCACACACCCACACCCCCCCGCGCGCACACACACCCCGCACACACACTCACATGCACACACACACACACACAGGCACACGCACACGCACACAGGCACACACACAGGCAGTACCTCAGGTCCACGTTCCGGATCGGGCTGGTCTCCATTCTGAGCATGGCCTCGTCGTCCTCAGCTCTAGGAGAGATGGAGACGGGGTGAGGGGGTGAAGGATGGGGTGAGGATAGCCGCACCCCTTCTTTTCAGGGTTGGGGTCCATGAACTCCAGGAAGCAAGGAGGGGCGGGTTGCATGGCTTTCTGGTCTGTGGGTGGGAGTCTAGGGAATAATGGAATGGAGAGGTGGGGGAAGGGCCCCAGAGGGTGAGAAGGGGAGGGTGCCCAGCACTTTGGGAAGGGCAGAGGGACAGGAGGCTGGGGAGGGTGAGGGAGATGTGGGGGGGCTTAGGGGGTGAGGTGTGGGGCTGTGAGGGGTGAGGTGTGGGGCTGTGGGGGGTGAGGTGTGGGGATGTGGGGGGTGAGGTGTGGGGGGTGAGGTGTGGGTCTGTGGGGGGTGAGGTGTGGGGTGTGGGGGTGAGGTGTGGGGGGTGAGGTGTGGGGATGTGGGGGGTGAGGTGTGGGGGGTGAGGTGTGGGGCTGTGGGGTGCGGGGATGTGGGGGGTGAGGTGTGGGGCTGTGGGGGGGTGAGGTGTGGGGCTGTGGGGGGTGAGGTGTGGGGTGTGGGGGTGAGGTGTGGGGGGTGAGGTGTGGGGATGTGGGGGGTGAGGTGTGGGGGGTGAGGTGTGGGGCTGTGGGGTGCGGGGATGTGGGGGGTGAGGTGTGGGGCTGTGGGGGGTGAGGTGTGGGGCTGTGGGGGGTGAGGTGTGGGGCTGTGGGGTGTGGGGCTGTGGGGGGTGAGGTGTGGGGCTGTGGGGGGTGAGGTGTGGGGCTGTGGGGGGTGAGGTGTGGGGCTGTGGGGGGTGAGGTGTGGGGGGTGAGGTGTGGGGCTGTGGGGGGCGGGGAGGTGGGGGGTGAGGTGTGGGGCTGTGGGGGGTGAGGTGTGGGGCTGTGGGGGGTGAGGTGTGGGGCTGTGGGGTGTGGGGCTGTGGGGGGTGAGGTGTGGGGCTGTGGGGGGGTGAGGTGTGGGGATGTGGGGGGTGAGGTGTGGGGCTGTGAGGGGTGAGGTGTGGGGCTGTGGGGGGTGAGGTGTGGGGATGTGGGGGGTGAGGTGTGGGTCTGTGGGGGGTGAGGTGTGGGGCTGTGGGGGGTGAGGTGTGGGGCTGTGGGGGGTGAGGTGTGGGGCTGTGGGGGGTGAGGTGTGGGGGGTGAGGTGTGGGGGGTGAGGTGTGGGGCTGTGGGGGGTGAGGTGTGGGGCTGTGGGGGTGAGGTGTGGGGCTGTGGGGGTGAGGTGTGGGGCGTGGGGGGTGGGGGCTCGGGGGGACAGATGCTCTCACCTCCTTTTGGAGCACCAGACGCGGTTGACGAGCAGGAGGACGAAGACGATGAACAGGAAGCCCACCACGGCCGCCAGGCCCGTCAGCCACGGCTTCAGGCGGTACTCCATGGCTGGGGGGTGGAGGCGGGACTCAGAGACGGGGCATGGAGGGCCCCCCGAAGGGGACGGGGAGAAGGGAGTCCGGGTTGCTTAGCCCAGTGGTCGGCAAACTCATTCGTCCACAGAGCCAAATACCAACAGCACAACGATTGACATTTCTTCGGAGAGCCACAGTTTTTAAACTTCTTCTAACGCCACTTCTTCAAAACAGACTCACCCAGGCCAAAGGGGCCAAAGAGCCGCATGTGGCTCTCAGGCGGCGGTTTGCTCGCCACCGGCTTAGACAGGTGGGGGCTGGGTGTCAGGGCAGGGAAGGTGCTGGGGACCGGCCTGGGGAGGGAGCTCACCCCACACACCCCCCCCCCCCGCCGCCCCAGGGTGCCCCTACCCTGCTGGGCTTCCGCGGGCACAAGCAGCAGGGCGCTGACCGCCAGGAGGGTCCGCAGGGCCTCCATGGCGGAGGAGCCAGCGGCGCGGGTGCGAGGTCCGAGGAGCAGGTCCTCTGTGGCCAGCGAGGCCCTGCCAGCCCTGATAAGGCGCAGGTGGGTCCGGGCAGGGCGGGCCCGCCCTTCACCCACCTGGCGGCACCCCCTCCCCAGGAGGGCAGACTCTGGACCCGGGGTAACGATTAACCCGGAGGCTGCCACCTGCGCCCTGCGCCCTGCGCCCGCCCAGGGCCGCAGCACTGAGCCCCCAGGCTCCACGCCCGGGGGGGGGGGGGGGCCTGAGGTGGCCCAGGCTCAGCACGTTCATGTGTTTTCTTCTCCGAACCTCACACAAGTTGCTGCCTCGGTTTCAGAGGAGCTCAGGGAGGCCAGGGGTCTCCCCCCGACCAGCTTCCTGGGCCTCATCCTCGCCCCCGGCCCCGGGGACCGGCCGGCGCTGGGAGGGACGGGTGATGTGCCCAAGGCCAGCCGTGCCCTGTGGCAGAAGACAGGGCACCTGGGCAGCTGATGACTCAGGCTCCGGGCTCTCAACTTTGGTCCCGGCTGATCAGATACGGCCCTGCACTCCCGCTGCCACGGCGGCCACGGCCCAGGCAGGTGGTGGAGGGGGGGGGGGCCTTCAGCCCGGAGCCCTCCCCGGGGCGGGGGCTGGAGAAGGCCGGCAGCATGGCACGTGCCTTTCGGAGCCTCGCTGTGTGCTTTCCTGAGGTCGGACTGACCACCTGCTCACGTGCACTGCGCAGGCAGCCCAGCCCGGGAGCAGGCCCTCAGCCAGCCAGCGGCCTGCGAAGCTCCCACTGTGCGCCTGTCCGGTGCAAAGCTGGGAAGGGAAGCCTCAGGTGCCGACCCCGGGTCACAGGCCGGCTGGGGCGTCGGGACCCCCAGAGACAGATCCAGCGACAGAGCAGCAGAGCTGGGAGTGAGGGGGGGGGCGGGTCTCAGAAGAGTGAGTGGGGGCAGAACCCCAAACAGGTCATTTCTGGGCTCGGTGCCTCCATCCCCCATCTGTTAAACGGGCACAAAGTCTCACTCGGAGGGTTAAATGAGATAAGACGAGGAGATGGCTCATTCAGCACAACTAGGCAAGGGCTGGCTAATAATACAATTTTTGAGATCTTGGCGTTCTTGGTTCAGAGGCTGCCCACCGCTTGTCGGAGGCCGGTGGGGTTAAACTGGGAATCGGGGGCGCAGGCGTGTGGAAACGGCAGAGTCCCGGCAGCCAGGAAAGGCAGGTTCTCTGCCGAGACAGGGCCGAGCGTGGAGAAGGGGCTCCGGGGCCCAGGTCCCGTCTGGACAGCGCTGAGGCAGGGGCGGCCGCTGGGCCTGAGCCGAGGGCAGTGCCAGCTCAGTCCAGCCTCCAGGAGCTCCGGGCGGGCGGTTCCTTGAAGGCGATGGAGGGGCGGTGGGGGGCCCGGGCGGGGGCTGCTGCAGGCGCGCCCTCAGCACCCCCGCCGTTGTCCTCCTCGCCCCGCCAGGCCAGGGCCAGCCGCAGGTCCAGCTCCTCCAGATCCTCATCCTCCAGGCTCGGGCGCAGCTCCCGGGGGGCGTCCTCCTGGTCCGGCTTCGGGCCAAAGGCCCAGTCTGCGCAGGAGCTGGTGAGGAGCGGCCCAAGCCCTGCCCCCCCAGTCCCCGTCCACCCTCCTGCCCTCCCCGACTGGGGGGGCCCCGGGACCCAGCTCCAGCCTAACCGGCTCCCGGCGGGCTGGACTCACCGGCCAGGTCGTGGGCCAGGTCCTTGATGAGATGGCCCACAATGGCATAGGCCACGGCCAGCACCAGCAGCGCTGCCAGCAGCAGGTACAGCGCGTACCGGGGCAGGCGGATGGCGTCCAGGGGCGGCGGGCGGTACTCCTCGTACAGGGGTGGGGCCCGGCTCCCGCTCTCGGCCCCCAACTCACCCGCCAGCCCCGGCATGGCGCTGCCCGGCAGGAGAGGCCGGAGGCGGCCGGGGCGGCGGAAGTCCTAAGGGGATTTGGGTAAGAAGATTGGGGCTTCGCTCTGGCCACCATCTGCCCGGATGAGTCACATCGCAAATCACTTCTGCCCACTGCCCCCTCCCTCGCTCAGCTCCAGCCACACCCGCAGCTGCCCCGCACGCCGCTACCTCAGGGCCTTTGCACAGGCTGCCCCTCTCCTGGGAAAAGCCCTGACATTCGGAGTGGGAAAGGGGACTGAGAAAAGCATACCCTCAGCGTAAGGGATGTATCGGGTGAGAAGATGAAGAGAGGTAGTGGAGGCGGAGGGGCTGGTGCTGCTGGGAGGGAGTTCAGGTTTAAAGTAGGGCTGCCACCAAAACCGGTTTGGCTCAGTGGATAGAGTGTCAGCCTGTGGACTGAAAGGTCCCGGGTTCGATTCCGGTCCAGGGCATGTACCTTGGTTGTGGGCACATCCCCAGTAGAGGGTGTGCAAGAGGCAGCTGGTCGATGATTCTCTCTCATCGATGTTTCTTTCTAACCCTCTCTTCCTCTCTGTAAAAAATCAATAAAATATATTTTTAAAAAGTAAATAAATAAAATAAAATAGGGCTGCCAAGGCCATTCCGAGATGACACTGGAGCAGAGGCTCAGAGCAGTAAGGGAACCAGCCACCGGAGAGACAGGGCAAAGCCTTCTAGGCAGAGAAGAAAGCGGACTCGGGAGCTCAATGGCGCCCTCTAGTGGCCGACAAGGGACAGGGAAACAGCTGGTACAAGGTGGCGATGATGAGGCTGAACCTGGGAGAGGAAGGAGAGAAGTGTGCAGGTCTGGGATAGGTTTTAATTGGTCACACCTGAATGCTTTTAGGCTGACCACCCACAATGCTGGAGTGTCCATTTCCGGTGGGAGAAGCAGCCTCGGAGTACTAAGCGGAAATGTAAGGATGTACTGGGTTTGAGGTGCTTCAAGAGGACATGTGGAGGGGCAGCTGGGCCGGAGTGTGGAGCTCTGAGGAGCCCCGGGCAGAGACAGGACTCAGCACAGATGAGGTTAGATCCCTACAGACAGTGGACAGGCCACCCAGGGGGTGATCCCCCCCCCCAGGACCAGCCCTAGGCAGTGAGGGAGAGGGGGGGCTAAAGCTTGGCAAATGCAGGGTCCCAGGAAGAGGGGGTGCCTGTGACACTGAGATAATAAGAAACGTGTATTTATCTTTGTCCAGGTTCCTGGCATCAAGTCCCTAAAACCCTGTCATTTCCCTGCGTGTTTTGTTTTTAATGAATGCTGCCTTCTTTTAACGATTTCAGAGATAGGAAGGGAGAGGGAGAGGGAGAGACACCTGTAAGAGAGACACATCCATACCGGGGCCAGGGATCAAGCCTGCAACCGAGGTGCATGCCCCTGGCCGGAATAGAAATCGGACTCTTCGTCCACAGGCTAACGCTTTAACCTCTGAACCAATGGGCTACGGCCCTTCATGCTTTTTTTTTTTTTTTTAATTTATTGATTTTTTACAGAGAGGGATAGAAAGTTAGAACAACCATTCATGCTTTTTAAAATATATAGTTTTATTGTTTCAGCAAGAGGAAAGGAGAGGGAGAGATCGAAACATCAGTGATGGAGCCTGGGGATTGAGCCTGCACCCCAATCAAACTGAGGCCCCCTGGTTCACAGATCCATGTGCAACCTCTGAACCATACCAGCCAGGCCTTCGTGCCTTTCCCCCGCTAAATATATTTTTATTGATTTCAGAGAGAAGGGAGAGGGAGACAGAAACATCAGTGATGAGAATCATTGATTGGCTGCCTCCTGCACGCCCCACACTGGGGATTGAGCCCCCAACCCGGGCATGTGCCCTTGACCGGAATTGAACCTGGGACCCTTCAGTCTGCAGGCCGACGCTCTACCCACTGAGCCAAACCAGCGAGGGCCCTTTGTGCTTTGTAACCCACCCCTCCCGTTAAAACTGAGATGGGCTGGGAGGGGAAACCGCCCGTGGGTGAGGAGACAGCCCCCTGCCACCCCGCCTGCATCAGTGCCAGTGATGCTCTCCACACAGGTCTCAATGCAGGGCCCTGGGGGCTCCACGTGCCCGGAGACGGTGTGCCGGTTCCAGGGGACAGAAGCTCCTGTGCTCGGGGCCCTTCTGGACCCAGCCCTGCGTCTCTCCGTCTGTCCTCACAATAAATGGTGAGCAAAGCCCTTTCCAAGCTCTGGCAGCTCTCCTAGCGAACCCTCAAATGTGAGCAGGGTGGTGAGAACCCCGTGGGTCCAAGGGAGGACAGTTCAAGGTGGTGGCGTCTGTGTCATTCCGGGCCATCCGTGTCAGGACTGAATTGCAGGACACCCAGCTGGTGTCTGCAGAGAAATGGAAAACTCACACATTGGTGCCAGAAGAGTTGTGAGCAGAAGGCGTTGTTGTAAAAATGGGTCGGAGTTGTGCCCACACCTCCTGGCACCCGTGCCCTCATGGAATCCCCTCCCCCGGCATCAGGGTTGTTTGTTAACCCATAGAAAGCAGGAAATGGGAAACCTGGTTAGGCTCGTCATAGAATAGTGAATGGGCTGCTGAAGGCTGAGAGAGGGGGCCCTGGAATGGCAGTCCACAGCCCAAGCTCTGAGCCATACCACAGAACCCCTTCCCATTCCCCCATGGTGCCTGGGGAGGGGCAGGCTGGAGGGCTGTTCCCTGAGCCTCTTGGCGGGGCTGAGGCGCAGATGCCCTGCCAGGGACGGGAGGTGAGGCGGGACACAGGCCTGCCCTGGTCACGTCTAGCACAGGCAGATCGCAGAGCTGAGTTCTCCAAATGCCCCACCCCACTTAGACGTTCCGTAAGAGTACCCAACGTGAGCCCCACAGCCTCCCAACACACACAGTAATTGCTTGGCAAAAATAATTTAATATTCCACAGAAGCAGTGGCCTGGGGCCTGCTTGTCACCTGGCCCAAGTCCCTGGCCCAGCCCACCCTGAACACAGATTTCCCCACATCCCTTTCTCTGCACCCCCTCGTTCCTGGAGAAACCGGGGCATGCAACCTCCCCAGAGCACTGCCTCACCCCTGCCCCCCGCCCCAGAGCCCCCTCCCGTGCTGACATCCCACCGCACAGGGCAGCCCGGGGCAGGGACCGCAGACACCTCGGCCTGGTCCTGGGAGCAATCGAGACGCAAAGGCGGCTGAGATCCGGCGGGAGCAGGTTCCGGGAGCCGGGAGCGAGCCCCGCTGACTCCGAGTCCTGGGGCAGGGCCTCTAGGGGGGCGGCGAGCGCAGCTGCTCCAGCGCGTCGGCGTACTGGAAGGCCGGCCCGCGCTCGTGCGCGTACACGTCCAGGGCCACCTCGCAGCTCTCCCGCACCACGCGCTCGGGGTCGGCGGCGTGCGCCCGCAGGGCGGCCAGGCAGCGGGGGCGGGCGATGGCGCCCAGGGCCTCGGCGCACTCGTGCCGCACCATGGGGCTCTCCGTGCGCCGGGCCAGGGCGGCGGCCAGCGGGGGCACGGCCGCCTCGTGCTGCAGCTGGCCCAGGACGTAGCCGATCTCGTGGCGGAAGAGGGCGCTGCCGCAGCGGAGGCCTGTGGGGCGGGGGCAGAGGAGTCAGGCTGTGCGGTGCCGCCAGGGAGGCTGAGGACGCGGGCGGGGCTGGGCACCCAGGGGCAGAGACAGTCCTAACAGGAAGGCATTGAGGATGCGGGAGCCAGGTTGCTGAGGGTCTACTCTGCTGACTGGGTGTGACCTCAGGCCAGTGTCCTTGCCTCTACGATTGCCCCCCACCTCTGAGCTGGAGTTAGTTTGTGTGAAGACCGTGGGGAAGGGCTGGGCCGGGCCCAGGGTGCTGGTCCCCAGGACAGGTGGTTCCAGGTCACAGATGCAGCTGCTCACCCTCAGCCAGGGCCAGGGCCGCCTCCTCGCCACCGGCATCTCGGAGGGCGAACATGGCGCGGTAGCGGTCGAACAGCGGCAGGGCTTCGTCCAGGAGCGCCTCCCGCAGCCGCCCCACGTCGCGCTCCTTGGCCGGAGGGGCCGGGTCCACGGAGAGGTAGGGCCCGGGCGTGGCCGGCTCCTCGCCGTGCTGCTGCAGCCACTCCAGCCGGCACACAGCCAGCTGGCACGTCTCGGCCACCTGGGAGGAGGGGACATGGTGGCGGCCTTGGGGTCGTTAGGGGGCGATAAGGGAGACCGGGCAGGGAACGCTCAGTGTGGTGGTGACATCAGAACCAATGAGGATGGAGTCAGGTGGAAAGAGCCAGCGCAGAGGCCTGAGGCGGACCTGCCGGACCTGTCAGGGGAGCTAACCACAAAGGTGGCCTCCCTCCAGGGGGTCAGAACAGACTGTGGGCGTGTGGGCCTCAGTGAGGACTTGTGATTTTACCCTAAAGCTGATGCGTAGCCATGAGAGAGACGGACAACAAGGTGCCAGAGGTGAGGACAGCTCCACAGCGACTCAAGGCCCAGGACGGGTGGGTTTTGATGGAAATGTTCATTTTCGCCCAAATTGGGAGCAGCCTGCACCCATCCTGACTGCCGCCTCTCCCCAGAATCCCCAAGGCAGACAGACCCAGGCCTGGGGCCGGGCCGGGCGAGGGCGGGAGAGGGCGGGCTGTCCGAGTTACCTCGGTCACAGGGTCGGTGGAGTACTGCTTCAGGACCTCCAGGACTTCCGGGTCCCCGATGGCGCCCAACGCCTCCCCTGGGAGCCAGGAGAGAGGGTTCGAGTTGATTAGAAAGGACCTGGACACCTCAGGGGACGCTCACGACAGGCCCTCAAAAATGTTTGTCCCATGAATGAAATGAACAGATGAAAAAGGGGCTGGGCCGAAATCGGTTTGGCTCAGTGGATGGAGCGGAGGTCTTTGGACTGAAAGGTCCCGGGTCCGATTCCGGTCAAGGGCATGTACCTTGGTTGCGGGCACATCCCCAGTGCGAGGTGTGCAGGAGGCAGCTGATCGATGTTTCTCTCTCATCAATGTTTCTAGCTCTCTATCCCTTTCTCTTCCTCTCTGTAAAAAATCAATAAAATATTTTTTTTTAAAAGAAAAGAAAAAGGGGTTGGCAATCTACAGCCCACTGTCTGTCTTTATAGGCACGTAGAATGGCTTTTATAGTTAAAAAATACTTTGTTCTTAATCCTCACCCGAGGATATGTTTTTCATTGATTCTAAAGAGAGAGAAAAGGAGAGAAACATCGATGTGAGAAACATCCATCAGTGGCCTCATGCACATGCCCCAACTGGGGATCAAAACTGCAAAGGGGATGGGGGGGCGCAATGGTATATGTACACAGATAATAATTTTTAAAATTTTTAAAAATTAAAAAAACTGCAACCTGGGCATGCGCCCTGGCCCGAACCCGCAACCCTTTGGCACTCAGGATGGTGCTCTCATCACTGAGAATACCAGCCAGGGCAAAAAAAAAAAAAACCTTTTTAAATTACAGATAATATTCATGGCACACGAAAATTACATGAAGTTCAAATCTCAGCACCGTGTGGTCCCACCCACCCGGCGACTCTGGCTTATGGTGGCTCTTATGCTACGAGGGTAGAATGAGTGGTGGGACAGCCTGTCTGCCAGTGGGCGAACACACTTACTGCTGCCCTGGGCGGCGATGTGCTGAGCCCGGCCTGCCCCGTGCACGGGTGAGGGCCTCACACTCACCGGCCTCATGGCGCACCATGGGCTCCTGGCGGGTGTCGCGCAGCACGTCCACCAGCACGGGGATGGCGCGGCGGTCCTGCATCTGGCCCAGGCAGTAGGCCAGCTCGTGCTTGAGCAGGGCGGAGTCATCGCTGAAGGCCCGGCTGATCCAGGCGATGGCGTCCGGGCCGCCCAGCCCCCGGAGCGTGAAGAGCGCCCGGAAGCGGGCCTGCAGGGGCTGCTGGGGGTCGCCCAGCGTCCTCCCGATGGCCTCCACCTCCTGCTCCGTCACCATGGTGCAGCCTCCTTCCTCTGGCTCCTCTCGGGCACGAGAACCTTAACACAGAAACCCGGAAGGCCGGTGAGAGGCGTCCTTCTGCTCATGACTTTACCTGTTCAATTCATAGAGCCTGGCCAAGCGGCCCCTCCTGCCGTCCAGCCTGGATATCGAGGCTGCAAGCCTGGCTCTGGCCCCAGGTTACTTTCCCTCTCTGGGCCTTTGGCCTATAGTCAGCAATTACCCCGAGGGTCTGCTCTCCACACAGCAGCCAGAGACTGTGGTAGCTGGTCCCCTGGCCCCCACCTCCTGGTATCTGTGCTCAGGGTGCCCCTCCCACAGTGAATAGGATGGCCTGTGTAAACAACAGGGTGTGGGAGAAATGACAGTGTGGCTTACGAGGGTAGGTCGTAAGAAACACTGTGTAATCTGTCACACAGCACAGGTGACTGACACAGGAGTCCTTTGCCATAGAAACCAAACACGTGGTTCCTCTGCAAAACCCTCCTGTTGCCTTATTGCTCCAAACTCCTCCAAACTCCGTGGGAGTCCCGAAGGCCAGGCGCCCTCCCCACCCTCACTTCCTCCCTTCCCTCCCCTCATTCCACTCCAAACAGGCCTCCGCCGGTTCCCCCAGCAAACCAGGGAAACTCCTGCCCTGGGCCTCTGCCCAGCTGTTCTCTCCCTCGGAAGCTCATTCCCAAGTGCCCCGCTCTCTCTCTCACTTCCTCGTCTCAGATGTCACCTCCTCAGAGAAGCCTTCGCTGATCACAGCCTTCCATGCTGCTCCTGCTCCCCACCCTTGTTCTACCTTCCTTGCAGCGCTTAGCACTAGCAGCTACCGTGCTGCGTGTTTACTGGCTTAGCTGGCTGTGGTCCTTCTGAGGCCTCACTAGACGAGGAGATGCTGAAAGCAGGGGTCGAGTCTCCTGTCCTGCTGTACCCCAGCACGCAGGAGGCCTCAATAAGAATCGCCCTCACAGTAGCAGCAGCTGACACCCACAGAGCATGTGTGTGTATGTGTGTGTGTGTGTATGTGTGCAGACACTCTCCTACGCCCTTTACAGTGATGAGCTCATTCAATCGTACCGTGACCAGAGGAGTCAGGCTGGTGACCATTCACAGGAGGGGAAGCGAGCACCGCGGTTAATGGCTTGCTTAGAAGTTGTGGGAAAGCTATAAACCCAGGCAACTGAGCTCTACACCAGACACTCTGTCAAGTGGATGAGATAAGATGAAACGACGCGGCTGAGGCTGGAAGAAGGGTTCCCCTCTCCTCCTCCAGACCAACAAGGACCTGGAGGCCACGTAATAAACGTGACAGGCAGCCCTTGCTGGTTTGGCTCAGTGGGTAGAGCGTCAGCCTGTGGACTGTAGGGTCCTGGCTTTGATTCCAGTCAAGGGCACATGCCCCAGGTGCTGGTTCAGTCCCTCGTGGGGGGCGTGCAGGTGCCAGCGGGTCAATGATTCTCTCTCATCATTGATGCTTCTATCTTTCTCTCCCTCTCCCTTCCTCTTTGAAATTTATAAAGATATATTTAAAAAATTAAAAAAACAAACATGACAAGCAGTGGCGGCATGCCAGCAGCCCTCTGCCCGCCCCCTCCTCCCCGCATCCCTCGCCCCTGGCCCCCAGCAGCGGCAGCAGGTTCCACCAGGGCCCCATGAGGGCGGTGCAGCTGCATGAGCCCAGGTGACATCAAAGGGAGTGACTCCTGCATGAGGCACAGTCAAACCCACAGCCGCCAGGAGTGACTCCTGACAGGCCTTGGCAAGTCTGTGCCGGATGAACTGGACATCCACTGGCTGCCAGGGGCGCCACGAAGCAAGGTGTGCACGTCCGCATCCTCAGTAACCGTGAATGAGGTTCGCTCACAGCCGCCCCAGCACGGCGCCCTCATTCCTTCCCTCCCGCCACCACTCCATCCTCCAGCAGCCTCTCCTCCAGCTCAGGACAGGGGCGGGGACAGCGACCCCGGGCGCCCGCGGCTCACACCGAGGCCCATTAGCTTTCGGGGGGGGGGGGGGGACGGACGGACGGGGGAGGCGAGGGGTTTCGGGGATCCGCCCCAAATCAAGGCAGAAAGTGGAATCCCCCCCCACACACCCACCCCCGTGAAGGCCTCAGAGCCAGACAGGATGAATAGGTCAGGGATGGAGGAAGAGGAGGCCTGGATCCTCGACATCCCTTCCCTCCTAGACTCTATACCAAGAATTCTCAGCAAAAGATCTCCTTTAACTGGGCTGCCCCTCCCGGAGGGGTCGCCCCACGCCGGATCCCTTTCCTCGGAAGACTCCTAGGAGCCCGCTGCCCAGGACCTGTCCACGCGGGGCCCTCACCAGCCGGTTCTCCCAGGACCCCGAGGAAGGAGCCGCCAGACGTGGGTCCCCAGCCCGGGGATGCTGGAGACAGGGACCCGGAACCCGGAACCCGGAAGGAAGAGCTCCCGGACTCCAGGGGGAGGTGCCTCACACCGCGAGCCAATGAACCCCAGAGCCGGGACCCCCGCCCCCGCCCCATGAGGCATCCTCCCCGCGCCCGCCCGCCAGGCCCGGGCCCCGCACCGTGCTCCCCGCCGCCGGTCAGCCGAACGCGCTCCGGAAACGCACGGCTCGCCGCCGGTTCGCCGCCGCCGCCGCCTCACGGGCCGCAACGCTGGCAGCGTGCTCTGGGGGCCGCCATCTTGGCGCCCACGTGACCGGGGCGGACCGCACCAACGCCGCGCGGGAAGGGGGCGGTGCCGTCCGAGGCTCCGCGGCGAGAGGACCCCGGAAGCGCGAGCAGGCGCCGGCGCCGTGGCTCACACTTCCACAACAGGTAGCACCAAGAGTATTCCTCGGGGAAGGCGGAGCGCAGCGCCCACCCTGTCCCCGGAAGAGAGAGAGCAGGTAGAGCCGCCTCACCTGACACAACTGGAAATGGTTTGTGCCGATCACCCGGGGCGGGGGGAGGGGGGAGGGGGAGCGGTGGTTAGTGACGGAGCATGCGCAGCCTCCGGGAGCGTGGTCGAGACTGGGAATCCAAGGGTTGTTTTTTTTCCATTTTATTTATTTATTTATTTATTTTAATTTATTTTAATATATTTGATTTTTCCCCCCTCCCTCCCTCCCATACATACCCTCCCTCCTCAGAGTTTTATGTCCATTGGTTGTACTTATATGCATGTCCCAAGGAGTTATTAAGACCAGAGGCCGGGGGAACGAAATCGGGCACGGGTGGGGTCCCTCGGCCTGGCCCGGGTTCCGGCCCGCCGGCTGCGGGAGGGCCCGGGGAGAGTGGCTGGCCGCGGGAAGTTGGCGCACCGACCACCAGGGGGCAGCTCCTCCCTGAGCGTTGTCTCCTGGTGGTCAGTGCTTGTCATAGCGTCTCATCCGCTGAATGGTGGTAAGGGTCGCTTAAGCTTAGGCTTTTATAGATATAGATTTCATTTAACCCTTGGGGGCTGAGAACAAGGCAACCTGCAGGCTTTACCCTTGAGAAGCCACTGGTCTTGTCATAATCTGGGATACACATACCCTGACTCAGGTGTTAAGAAGATGAGCCCCACCCTTGTGTGTGTAATAAAACCTGTTCAAGAAAAAAAAAAAAAGGATTGGCCCCGGCCAGTATTGCTAGATGGTTAGAGCATTGGCCAGTGCACAGAAGGGTCTCTGATTCGATTCCTGGTCAAGGGCATGTACCTGGGCTGCAAGTTTGATCCCCAGCTCCAGTTGGGGCACATGCAAGAGGCAACCAGTTAATGTGTCTCACATCAATATCTCTCTCTTCTCTTCTCTTCTCTTCTCTTCTCTTCTCTTCTCTTCTCTTCTCTTCTCTCTCTCTCTCTTCCTCTCTCTCCCTCTCCCTTCCACTCTCAAAAAAAACAATAGAAAAAATATTCTCAAGTTAGGATTAACAACAACAACAAAAAAATGTTTGTATTAGCCCTGGCCAGGTAGCTTGGTTGCTCAATTAGATCTCCTTCAGATACGCCAAGGTTGTGGGTTCGATCCCTGGTCAGGGCACATTGTTTTACTTATTTATGAGTGCATAAATAAGTAAAACAATGAACTGATGTTTCTTTCTCTCTAAAACCAATCCGTTTTTAAAAATGAATAATGGATTAAATATGCCATTCTTAGCAACAAACTCACTTTGATGTGCCAACTACGGGTTTAAGACATTCAGTCATTCATGTCAGAAATATTTATTAAGCACCTACTGTGTGGCAGGCACTGTCCCAGGCATGGAGGACACAGAATGAAACACTGCCTCTGGCCTCATGAAGCTGACATTCTGATGACGATGATTTTGTTGTCTTCCCGTGCATTCTAAAGGTGACCGCAGATAACTGACTTTGCAGCCGATGTTCTGTGGCTCAGGCTCATGTTCACACCTATGTTGACACTGGGCAGCTACAGGGTCCGGAGTGCTGCTCTGGGGGAAGGAGATAGGGCCAGGGGTGCAGGAAGCAGATATGGAGGCCACGCCCAAAGCAAGGTCTGTGTCTGTCAGGGAACTTGGGACCTTGAGCCTGTGGACCTGTGAGAGCCTGATAGCAGGAGAGAAGCCTGCACCTTCCCGCACCTTCTGTTCCAGGCCCCTCTCCACTTGAGCAAGGCCGCTGAGGCCAGGAATCCAGCTTGAGGTGCCGGCTGGGCCGTGTTCCCTCTGAAGGCTCCAGAGGAGGGTCCTTTCTGACTCTCCCAGCTTTTGGTGATGGCTGGCTGGCCTTGGCTTGTAAATGCATCGCTGTAGTCTCTGCCTCGTGTTCCTGTCACTGTCTCCCTGTGAGTGTCCACATTTCCCTCTTCCTATAAGGACACCAGTCACTGGATTGGGGGCTCACCTTAACTCCATGATGATCTCGCCTTAGTTTGGTTTCATCTGCAAAGACCCAGTTTCCAAATAAGGTCTCATTTCCAGGGATCAGGGATCAGGATGTGGACATGTCATTGTGGGGGACACAGCGGAGCCCACCACACCTATAGTTCTGATCTCAGCGTGGGCATTCAGCCAGATCTCCTGCCCCAGCCTGGACGGAGGGAGATACTTCCTCGGGGCTCTGGTCCCCTGTTCTCTCTCTGTACCCAGTGCAGAGCCAGGTACAATTTATCGAATGTTTACTGAGCTCTGTCACCGCTCTGGACTTCTAGTTTGTCAAAACGTTAACCTCTGCTAAAAAGGGGGTGGAAGGAATAGGAATTAATTAATATTCTCCAGAAGCTGGACCAGAGAGAGGACATAGTGTGGGTGGGAGATGAGCATAAAATTGAAAGTTGCCCGAGAAACTCAATAAATGAGATAAATAATATTTTAATGCAATTTTTATCTCTTTTAAATTGACATCTTCCTGGTTGGTATGCTTAGTGGTTAGAGCATGAGCCTCTACATTGAAGGGTCTTGGGGGTTCAATTCTCAGTCAAGGGCACATACCTGGCTTACAGGTTCAATCCCTCGCCCTGGTGGGAGCACATGCAGAAGGCAACCAATTGATGGATCTCCCTTTCTCTCTCCGCTTCCCTTCATCTGTTCCTTCTCCACCTCCACCTCCTCTTCCTCCACCTTTACTCTTCCTCCCCCCTTCCTTCTGTTCCACTCTAAAACTCGATGGAGCCTGGCTGGCCAACGTACCTCAGTGGTGGAGCGTCTACTATGAACCCGGAGGTCACAGTTCCACTCCAGGTCAGGGCCCATGCCCAGGTTGTGGGCTCGATCCCCAGTGGGGGAGGGAAGAGGCAGCTGATCAACGCTTCTCCTCAAAGTCATTAATCATCTGAGAGATGCAAATCAAAACAACAGTGAGGTACCATCACAGACCTGTCAGAATCGCTATCATCATCAACAAATCAACAAACGTGCTGGTGAGGATGCGGAGAAAAAGGAACCCTCGTGCAGTGGGAATGCAGACTGGTGCAGCCACTGTGGAGAACAGTATGGAGTTTCCTCAAAAAGTTAAAAATGGAACTCCTGTTTGACCCAGTAATCCCATTTCTAGGAATATATCCCAAAAAACCAGAAACATCACATGATCTCACTCATATGTGGGATATAATGACCAACATAAACTAATGAACAAAAATAGATCCAGAGACAAGGTAGCACTGAACAACTGAACAGACCAGACTGTCCAACCTCAAAGAGAAGGCAGGAGAGGGGGCCAGTTAGAATCAACCAAAGGACTTGTATGCATGCATATTCGCATAACCAATGGACACAGGCACTGGGGCGGTGGGGGGGAGAGGGGGTGGGAGGTGGGATGGGGTGTTAATCGAGGGGGGGGGGGGGGGCGGGAAGAAACATGTAATCTTTAAAGTTTAAACAATAAAAAAACTAAAAAAGGAAAAATTTTAAAAAAACGATTCTCTCATCACTGATGTTTCTATCTCTCTCTCCCTCTTCCTTCCTCTCTAAAGTCAATTAAAAAAATATTTTTTTTAATTAACATTTATGCCCTAACAAGTTTGGCTCAGTGGATAGAGCATCGGTCTACGGACTGAAAGGTCCCAGGTTAGATTCCGGTCAAGGGCATGTACCTTGGTTGCGGGCACATCCTCAGTAGGGGGTGTGCAGAAGGCAGCTGATCAATGTTTCATTGATGTTTCAAACTCTCTATACCTCTCCCTTCCTCTCTATAAAAAAATCAATAAAATATATTTTTTAAATTAACATTTATACTGACAGTTGTTACAGCAGCAACAGGAAACCAATGCACAATGATCTCCCATGTTGTTTTATAACACATCCCTCCTGCATTAATTTAAAATTTAATACCAAAAAAATCCATATTTTCAAATAAAGACAGGATCCAGCCCCGTCAAATGCCGTCTTTATTGAAAATAAAACAACCAAGTCCAATGTCAGAGTGGGAATTCTGGTTCAGATGAAATTTGCTCACTCTCTTTTACTCCTTTGGTGTGCACCTAGTTTGTCTGAAACGAAAAGGAGAAGTACTGAGGGTTTGGACACTTTTTCATCATCATCAGAATTTTTTTAAAGGTGCAGTCCACCTGAGTCATTTTGTTTAGTTCCACATGTCATGTTTTAGTTGGAATGTTGATCATCTGGGTTTGGGGGAGGAGCAGTAAATATTAGAGACGTGTTTATTGAATCTGGTGCTGGGCTTGAGGAAAGAGATAAATCAAACCTAGTCTGGAGGGGCAGATAGTCAAGAAGTTTCTCCACTTACCATTTATTTGATCTCCTTCTCTGTGCTCGGCACTGCCCTGGACCTTCTTTGTCCAAAAGAATTCTCTACGATATACACATTCTGTATCTGTACTGTCCAATGCGGTAGCTACTGACTAGCTGTGGCTACAGAGCATTTAAAATGTGGCCACTATGGACCTGAATCTTTTAATTTGAAAAAAAAAATTAATTTTATTTGTTGATTTTCAGAGAGGGGGGTGGGGAGAGGGAGAGAGAAGGGGGAAGGAGGGAGAAAGACTGATTTTTAAAAAATATATTTTATTGACTTTTTACAGAGAGGAAGAGAGAGGGATAGAGAGTTAGAAGAATCGATGAGAGAGAATCATCGATCAGCTGCCTCTTGCACAGCCCATACTGGGGATGTGCCCGCAACCAAGGTATATGCCCTTGACCGGAATCGAACCTGGAACCTTTCAGTTCACAGGCCGACGCTCAATCCACTGAGCCAAACCGGTTTCTGCAAGACTGATTAGTTGTTCCACTTATTTAAGCGTTCACTGATTGCTTCTTGTATGTGCCCTGACTGGAGATCAAACCCACAACCTTGGCATATTGGGACGATGCTCTAACCGAGTTACCCAGCCTAAAATTGTAAGTAATTAAAATGGCAATGGAAACATCTGATATTCGATTCAGTTATTGGAAAACTTGTAAGCAGATTCACCTGGAGTCTGTGAATCTACTTGTTCCACTGTAAAATTTTCTAAAACATAAATAGAAATCAAGTATTTTCAGTGAAAATTAGCACCCAAATTGAGATAAGCTGTAAATACACAACACACTCTGGATTTTAAGACCTAATATGAGAAAGTAACAAAATATCTCATTGATAATTGTAGATTTTGATTTCATGTTGAAATGTACTAGTAGAGAACTTTTGACATATGGAGTTGATAAAACATATTATTAAAGTCAGGGACACAGGCCCAGCTGGTGTGGCTCAGTGGTTGAGCATTGACCTAGGAACCAGGAGGTCACGATTTCATTCCCAGTCAGGGCACATGCCCAGTGTGGGCTGGATCACCAATGTGGGGCATGCAGGAGGCTGCTGATCAATGATTCTCGCTCATTATTGATGTTTCTATCTCTCTCCCTCTCCCTTCCTCTCTGAAATCAATAATATATATATTTTTTAAAAATATATATATATTTTTTTTAATTAATGACACTGGTTTCTTTGTACTTTTTAAAAGTGGCTACCAGAAAATTTAAAATTAATATGTGCTTCATGTTATGCTTCTATTGGATGGCCTGCTCTATTGTATTTTTCTCCATCAGAAAGGCCATCTATTTAAGTCCCAAGACTCTCACTGCCTCATCTGCTTCTTTTCCTCTGCATCCCTTCTCCCTTCCTTCCCTCCCTTCTCCTTGGGGTATGGCTCCTAGGAGATCCATTTCCTACCCTGCCATAGGGGAGGCATTTTGAAAGGCCATGCCATCCTGAAACCAGTTTGGCTCGGTGGATAGAGCGTCGGCCTGTGGACTGAGAGGCCCCAGGTTCGATTCCTGTCAAGGGCATGTACCTTGGTTGCGGGCACATCCCCAGTTGGGGGTGTGCAAAGGCAGCTGGTCAATGATTCTCTCTCATCAATGTTTCTAACTATCCCTATCTTTTCCTCTCTGTAAAAAATCAATAAAAAAAATTTTTTGTTTAAAAGAAAGGCCACGCCACTGGCCCAGGATAGCCCAGCATTTGTGGGGACTGTCCAAGCACAGCCCCTTGCTTTTGTAGCTCCCCATTGACCCTGGATGGCACTGATCCAAACCCTGCAGTGGTGGCAGAGTTCACTGGAATCAAATAAACAATTATTTATATTATACAATTTCATACTGAAGGAACAGAAGTTGTGTACCATGGTATGCTCTTTCCTTTCCAATCTGTCCAAGTGTCATTCATCATTGCAGTGAGACCTTCCTTGATCACTGTAGTTAAGACCTTTACTCTCCACTTTCCCTTTTTTGTTATTCTCCACAATTCAGCTCCAGGCATACAGGATTTTTTTTTTTTTTTTACAACTGCGATATAATTTCACACACTGTTAAATTCATTCATTTAAAGTGTATAATTCAGTGGGGTTTAGTATAGTCACAGTTGTGCAACCATTACTACATCAATTTTAGAACACTTTCATCACCCCAATAAGGAAGTCCCTAAAAGTCAGCCCCATCCCGTTCCCCTGGACAACCCCAAATCCACTTCCTGTCCTGGAACATGATTTGCCTGTTTTTGACATTTCACATAAATGACATCACACGATATGCGGCCTTTTTTTGTGTGGCTTCTCTCACTGAGCATCGTGTATTCAACATGCTCATCCATGTTGTAGCATGTCAGTGCTTCACTCCTTTTTAGTGTCAAACAGTATGCCATGATATGGATATACTACATTCTGTTTATTCATTCCATTCATTTGTTGGTGGGTTTTTGGCAGTTTTTGGCTATCTATCTATCTATCTATCTATATGACTAATATGCAAAGTGTCCCTCGGGAGACCAGGAGTTCGAGCACTCGCTATGACATGCACTGTCCATCAGGGAGTGGTGCAGAATGAAGGAAGGCCAGAGCCGGCAGCTGGAAGGCCCCTATTGGTCCTGATCGCCAGCCAGGCCTAGGGACCTACTCATGCAGGAACTTCATGCACCAGGCCTCTAGTTATGTGTAATGCTGCTATGAACATGTGTGTACAAATATTTCTGTAAATATTTATCTTTAATTCTCTTGGTTATATACCTAGAAGTGGAAATTCTGGGTCATGTGGTCCTTCTGTTTAACTTTTAAAAAATACCTTTTTTAAAAATATATTTTTATTGATTTCAGAGAGGAAGGGAGAGAGAGAGAGAGAGAGAGAGAGAGAGAGAGAGAGAAAGAGAGAAACACCAATGATGAGAGAGAATCATTGATTGGCTGCCTCCTGCACCCTCCCCCCCCCCCCTTTACTGGTAATTGAGTCCATAATCCAGGCATGTGCCCTTGGCCAGAATGAAGCCCAGGACCCTTCAGTCTGCAGCCTGATGCTCTGTCCACTGAGCCATACCAGCTAGAGCTGTTTAACTTTTTGATGAACCACACCAGCCTATTTTCCACAGTGGTTGCAGCATTTCCCATTCTCAGCAGCAATGTGTGAGGGTTCCAGTTGCTCCACATTTTGGCCACATTTGTTATAATTTGTTTTTTAGCATTGCCATCCTAGTATGCATTCATTGGTATCGCACTGCAGTAGATTTGCATTTCCTTAATGACTAATGATCGTGAGCATGTGCTTATGGGCCATTAATTTTCTTTAGAGAATTGTCTGTTGGGATCCTTTGCCCATTATCCATTTTTGGAGCAGAGATTTTTTTTTTTTAACAGATTTTTTTTTCTTTCTGTTCCCTTCTTGGAGACCCTGAAGTAGTACTAGGTAGGAGCAATAAGTGTTGAATGAATGAATGAATGAATGAATGTCTGCAGTGGCGTTTGCATGTCCCGCACATACACCTGTCATTGAGTCCCATTACCTGGTGTGACTGCCTCATTGCTATGTGGGTCTGGCTTCTGTCCACCCTATGGTGGGTCTGCCCTGGGGCGTCCGTTTCTGCGACCATCCCCTACTAAGAACCACGTCCTAAACTAAGCAGTCTTTCCCCTGTATTCCAGGGAGCCTCCTCTGCCAGCTCCCTGGTCCTCTTCCGGCCACGGTTGCCCTTGGCAACGCGTGGCGCCGCGCTTCCTGTATTGATTCGAATTGCAGACTACGTCACGTCCTCCCGAGATGCCCGATGCGCGCAGGCGCAGCCCCGTGCGGGGGCGGGGCCGGGGCGGGGCCGGGGCGGGGCGTGGCCGGCCGCGGGAGCGCGCGCGGCGGCGGCGGCGGCGGAGGGCGCGGGAGGCCGCGGAGCCGCGATCGCCGCCATTTAAGGAGCGCGGAACCGGGAATCCCGGCAGTGGCGGCCGCAGCCGACCCGGCGAGACTGCGGGCAACGGAGGCGGCGCGGCGCGGCGCCGGAAGAGGCGGGGCCGCGGAGCCAGCCGGTGACGGGAGCGAGCCAGGTAAGGTGGCTGGAACCTGGGGACCCGCCCCCGGGCCCGAGCCGCGACCCCCGAGCCGGGCCTGTCGGCTGCGCGGAACAACCCAGAGCCCCCTGGAATCGAGCCGACGTGCCGGGATGCAACACCCGAGCTAGGGCGCTTCAGGAGGTCACCGGACCCCAGAACACCGCCCCCAACCCGAGCTAGGCCCAGGTGACCTCAGCATCCCACCACCGTCCTAACTCCCAAACCCGAGCCTCAGCCCCAAACCCAGCCCTGAGTGACCTCTCCAATCCGGGTTATCCGGTCGACCTGACCCCCCACCCCCTTTTTTCGCAACCCTTTTATAAGCATGGGACCCCTAAACCAAAAACAAGGGACCCCCCCATCTCACCCCCAGAACAGCGGGCCCATGCCCTAACCTGTACTATTCATCTCTGGCTTGTCAAACCCGGATCTTCCAGGTTCGAGCCATCCCAGCTCAGACCCTGTCCAGATTTAAACAGCCCTTCCATAGCTATATGTGACTCACCCAGGCTCGAACCAGCGCCCATCCCAATAAAATTCAAATTGAGCTTTGTGGACTCCGAATCAAGCAGGCTGAGGTGTGGAGACCCTGTCTATCTGGGTGCCCCATTGTGTTCACCGCACCCCTCTCCGCTCCGCTCCTGACACAGAGGCACTTTGGCAAGGCAGTTTGAGTGCATAAACGCCCCCTCTCTTCCAGCCCTTCTGCTTTCTAACCTGCCGTCCTCCCAGCTCGACCCCATCCCAGCTCCCCAGGATCAAAACCTAAGGTGGCCTGCCCGTGCCCAGCTGCTCTGAGATCCAGGATGGGTCTGTCCTTCCCGTCACCCCAGACACCCCACCCCTGCATTGGTCCTGCATCACCCAGACCTGTCCCAGACCCTAAGCCTGAGACCCACCGCTGAGCAAACATCCAGCCTAAACCTGTTTTTCCCTGTTCCCCCCGCTCCCCCCCCCAAAAAAAAAAAAATCATCTCCTTGTTCAGGGTGCCTCTCAGGCTGGGAATTAGATCCCCTTACCCCAGTCCACCAAATGTCCTCATTCCTGTCTCCGGTGAGACTGTACCCCTCCCTCCGTCTTAACATAGTGTTGTCTTTTCAATTGTAGTTGACATACAATAGTATACTAATTTCGGGTGTATAACATAGCGATTAGACATTTTTATACCTTATGATCTCCCCCCAAATCAGAGCCTCCCCCCCAAAAAAAACGGCCTTGCTTTACTTCCCCATTCTGAGCCACCTGCAACCCATGACCTCCCTCCCACACCTATCCTCCACAATCTTTTTGTAAATAGCAAGCGTAGCTTTGCTCCCCAAAACCAGGGCCCCCACTTCATACCCACAACAGCAGGCCCATGCCCTGACCTGTGCTGTAGGAACTAGCCAAATCTGATACTCATAATCTGATACCCACCTGGCACCACTCAGTTATTACAATATGATTAACTACATTTCCTATGCTGTATGTTACATGCCTGTGACTATTTTTATAACTGGCAATTTGTAGTTCTTAATCCCTTCACCTTTTTTTTCAACCACACTTTAAGTGAAGACTATTCATCTAAAGAAAAACCATCCACCCACAGCATATATACCCCCACCCCCCTCCCCAATGGAGACAGGTGGGAGGGACTTGGAAAGGAGGCTGGGTAGTCTCCCCTGAAGGAGGGAGCAGATTTGCATGCTGGGAGCTGGTGAGGTCCTCTGGGGACTGCCCCCAGGGTGGTACGTTGACCCCAGGCTGCTTATTGAACAGAACTTCTCGAGGACCATCATAGCCTTTGATGGTGGGGCCCTCTGTGTTGGCAGAGGCGTCCTGGCGTTTCCTTCTGAACCGAGAGTGGAAACAGGTGTGCTGCCTTTGTGTAGCAGTGAGGTGGGATTGCTCCGGCAGGGTTTGGGGCCCACTCCCTTCAGAAGTCGGGGCTCTGGTCCTTGGACAGCTCTTGGGTCAAAAAGGACAGGTGGTTCGCTGAGGTGGGGCGGAGTCTCGGGTGTCTGTGCTGGAGGTGGTGGCTGATTGGGGTGGGGAGGAGTACCTGGAAGCACACAGGAGAACCTAATGAGGCTTCAGAAGTGGCTTTGCGTTGATGTCACACTGGCTGCTCTGTTTCAGCGGAAATCGCCCACCATTGCTATTTATTGGGACCTCCGGCCAGGCAGGCTTTGTGCGCTTGGGACTCCTGAGTTTGGGGAGGTCTGGAGTGGGGTTGATTGTGGGGACCTTTTGCTCAGTGTCACTGAGAGGGATGAGGACCTGAAGCTCACTCAGGGACTCCTGATTGTGTAGAGATGGAGGGAGTTGGTTTTTTAGGAACCAGCCAAGCCGAATTTCCTGTAGTTTTTCTCCTCGAGAGCAGGGGTTCTCGCCTGGGGACATCTGTGGTTGTCACACCGGAGAGGCTCCTGGCAATGAGTGGCTGGGGGCCAGGGATGCTGTTCAAACCCCATAGAACCCAAAACAGCCCTCCCAGTGAATGGCCTCACCGAGTGTCAGCAGCGCTGAGCGGGGAGATCCCGGACTGAAGTTCAGACCGTGAGCCTGGGAGGGCAGGGACTTTATGTCCAGAGCCTGCATTGTGCCCTGCGAGGCTGGAGCTGGAGCACACTGCTTGAGTGCATGCCGAGGGCCAGGCCCATTCTGGGAGCCAGCAGAAAGGAGTGTTTGGTGGCCTCCTTTCTGCCCCAGAGCTCCTGGTGGCCTGATTTCTGTCCCAGCACAGGCCCCCGTGGTCACCACTCTGCCCACTAACCTCCCTGAGAGTTTGGCCACTGCGGGGCCTGCTTGTGCGTGCAGATAGGAGCCAGGCAAGTCCTGAAGCTCCTCCCTCCAATGCAGACATCAGGTGAGTACTGAGAGCAAGTAGAGGCCAAAGCTCCCCCTGTGTGCCCTCTCGCCAGGACATTTGTACCCCTGGCTGCCATACATCCTTGTGTTTTTGGCAAGTGCCTACTTTTCCCTGCCTCAGTTTCCTCTCGTGTAAATGGAATGACAGAGCACACTGAGCATTGCTTTACTTAAATTCAACCAGGATACATAATAAATGTATTATTTATTCAACCAGTATACATAATAATTGTATTTTATTTATCCCCAAGTAAGTGGAATGTATGACCCACTTTCCTGGCTTCCTGTACATGTCCCTCTGTCTCCTTCACTGGCTCTCCTTTTATTATCTTACTCATTACTTTTTGTTGATAACAGCTTTATTTAAATATAATTCTAATGCTATACAACCCACCATTTAAAGTATACAATTTGTGGTTTTCAATATGTTCACAAATATGCGTATCCATCACCACTATCTAGTTCCAGAACATTTTCATCAGCCCAAAAACAAGCCCCTTCCCCATCAGCAGTCACTCCCCATCCCCATCCCCATCCCCCCAGCCTCTGACAGCACAAATCTACTTTCTGTCTCTGGATGAGCCTGTTCTGGACATGTCACATAAATGGAATCACACACTATGTGGCCTTTGGTGTCTGACTTCTGTTACTGAACATCATGTTTCAGGGTTGTAATATGTCAGTGCTCATCCCTTTTCATAGCTAAATAATATTCCAGTATGGATGTCACATTTTGTTTGTCCATCACCAGCTGGTGGACACTTGAGCTGTTTCCACCTTTTGCCCATTATAAATAGAGTTGCTATGAACTGTCAGGAACGGGTTCTTGTGTGGTGGTCCTGGTTAATCTGCACTCAGATGCCTCTTTGCTCCTCTGCATATGCTCCTTGATGACCTGCTGCTTTTCACCCTTAGCTTCCTGTCCTTGTTTGCTGCTGGTGCCCAAAGCTGACTCCTGAACTCCAGGCTCACGTAGCCAGCGCCAGTGAGTTATCCTCCTGAGTGTGTCTGTCCATCTCTCCTATGCACCTTGGCTTGAGTTTGTCCAGAATAGGTCACTCTTTCCTCAAACCTGTCCCCCCTCTATAACCCCAGCTTCAACACGAGGCCTCTCCTCTCCGTACCCCACATCTCTTCAGGATGCCTGCTTTCTCACCTGAGCAGGCAAGCATCTGCTCCCTGGCTCGCCCCTGCTGTCCCTGGCCTCCGACTACGCTCTGCCGGCCTGTAAGCCCATATCTGATCATTCTACTCTCGGCTTCTGATCCCTCTCCCAGCTCCCTGCTACCACAGTCTCAGGAGGCTGCCCTTTTGGCCCTGCCACCTTTCCTTTGTTCGCTCCCAGTGCACTTCATGCAGCCAGCGTCCCCAATCTGTTTGCTGCAGGGTCTGTAAAGCTGCAGGCCGTCCTTTCTGGATCCCCTGCCTTTGTGTACATCTCTTCCCAGATCAGATCGAATTCGGGAACTATTGCTCTGTGATTCTCAGGGAGGTCTGGTCCCTGGAGGAAGGACTCGGCTGCATTTGCACAATGAGGAGAGGCCAGCTGGGTAGAGGGGAGAGGGTGGTGGGAGCAGGGGAAGGAGTAGGTGGCTGTATGAAGGGGATTTGCCCTCTGCACTTTCTGAAGGGCTGAGCAGCTGAGAAAGGTTAGTGTTGGTTTATGGAGCTCACTGGTCTTTGGAAGCAGCTATTTCCCTAAGGATTCCCCTAAACCAGGAGGTCTCCACTGGGAGCGATGTCTGGGGACCTCTGTGGTTATCACAACAGGGGGTGCTTCTGGCACTGAGTGGAGGGGGGCCAACGATGCTGTTCCACCCCCCACTGTGCCCAGGATGGCTCCCAGAGAATGACCTGTCCCTGGTGTCAGCAGTGCTAGGGTTGTATGTGTGTGTGGAGGGGGGCGGGGGGGAGGGGAAATACTCTGCTCTAAACATAATAGGTTTTTCCTTCTGCCACCCCCACCTTGGACCCATGGATGGGAACAGCAGTAAGACAGACTGAGGAAGCACTTGCTGATGTTCAGGCTACTTGTTAGGGGGTGAGCTCCCTGTCCCTGTAGGTGTGCAAGCAGATGCAGAGTTGTGAAAGGGCTTCGGGCACCTGGTGGGGCTTAATCTGATTCTCTCTAAGGCCCCATTCAG